CCCCGCGGAAAGCAACTTGGGGAGGAAGGGGGGGGGGAGGGAGGGAGGGAGGGAGGGAGGGAAGGAAGAGAAAGGGACCAAGCAGGCTGAGCAGGCCAAGGCAAGCAGGCCAGTAAGCAGCACTCCTCCATGGCCTCTGCATCAGTTGCTGGCTCCAGATTCCCACCTTGCTTGAATTCCTGTTTGTTTTCCGTTGATGATGAACTATTGTGTGGAAGTGTAAACTGAATAAACCCTTTCCTCCCCAAGTTGCTTTGGTCATGGCATTTTATCCCAGCAATAGGAACCTTAACTAAAGACAGTGAGAGATTCTGTCTCAAAAAAACAAAAGCAAAGAACCAGGTGGTTGACACCTAAGGATCAATATAAAAGGCTGACGTCTGGCCTCCACACGCATCCGTACAGAAGTGTGCATGCGGGGGTGGGGGGAAGCAGCGGTAATTAAAGCTGTGCAACCACAAAAAAGGGTGTTGGCGATAACTTCCTTCATATTTTATTCAATAAAAATTCATTAAGCAACTGGCCGTGGTGGTACACAGCTTTGAGCCCGACACTTGGGAGGCAGAGGCAGTTAGATCTCAGTTCAAGGCCAGCCAGGGCAACATAGTAACACCCTATCTCAAAAAAAACATACAAACAAAAAAGTGTGTTGAGTCTTTGCTATGAGTCTTAAGTTCCATGTGTGACCAAAGGTCAAGATGAAAGAGCCAAAAAAGTCACTAACCATTATTTCTCCTAATACTAAAATCCCAGAAATCAGCATTTGCCTCTTGTTTCTCCTCAGGCTAAAGGCCTCAGGTTATTACTATGACCCCACAATCCTCAGGGTACACCAAGAAAATGGTTTCGCAGAATCATATTTGAAAGATATAATCCTGCAAGGGATTATTTTGTTTTTAATTATGTGTATGCATATGTGTCCATGAGCCCTTAACCCCTGAACTGTGTTTCCTGGCCCATCAGCTTTTCTTCAGAATCTTATTATCGGGCCACTGTGATCATGTGACCCAAGTTTGCGGGAGGGGGGTGTGGGGAGGGTCTAGTTACCAATTCCTCTTGATTTGTGTTACACTGAGGTCCTCCAGCCCCTGGTACTCATTAAGATTTTATTGCTGATTTTACTGAAGATAACCCAAGGTCCCAGAGTGAGGAGTTCTTAGACTGGTCCCTAGGATAATGTGATCCATGGAGGATCTAGGACATAAGGGGAGTCCAAAAGAGAAAAGGATCCCAGTGTAGGCGCTAGCGCCACCGCTGGTCCCAAGTCACAGGAGGAAGGGGCGGGGCCTCCACAGGTCGATGCCGGAAGTGCCTCTCCGCCCCTGCTACTGGACCATGGAGACCGTGGCCCAGTAGAGACCTTAGTGTGAGGCTTGCAGGGGCGGTGGCCATGGAGGCCGTGCTGAACGAGCTGGTATCTGTGGAGGACCTGAAGGTAAAGTCTGGGCCAGAGGAAGGAGGAGGGCAGAATCGGAAAGGGCAGTTTCCGACGAGAGCTGACGGAGACAGAACAGTGCCGGTTTCGTCTTTCTGGGGAAGCCGAACTACGGCTCCCAGCAGCCTCTGCGGCATCCTGCTTCTTGTGGGGGATCTGCGCCGTGTCCCTGGGCCTGATGGGAGTTGTAGTTTCCAGGGTTTCGGCACCTCCGACCTAGGCCTGGGGTCTTAGTGTGATGCAGAGCTGGAAATTTGGGGTACTCGTGCAGGGATGAAGTAGCATAGTCACTGGTGTAAACTTTTGCTAGTGTTTACTCCCGCACGGCACTATTTTTGCCACATCCTGGTAGCTGTGTTTTCTTTCCTCTCCTAGAATTAAAGTAAGGCAAATCCAGGCCCAAAAGAGTAGGGTGGGATGGAACCAGGGGCCTCAAGTGAAAGGCCACATAGGAGGTCGTTTAGCTCTGGGACAGTATGTTTACTCTTCAGCTACTTGGGGTCAGCTGGTTCGGGAGCAGTGCCTGCAGCTGCCACCAGGTGGCATTTCTTCTTGGTACCACTAGGGGCTGGGTTCAGGGACCTTCTGAAGGGGAGGGAGGACACAGAGCATGGGACCCCAAGGATGGAGATGACAGAAGCTGGACTTAAGGGTACCAAGACCTACAAGGGAAAGGCGGCTGATAGGAAAATGTGATCTAACTGGGATTTAGACATCAAGTTAGCTGGAGAATGGTGGATGCCCCTTGTTTCTAAATGCTTACTCTTCTCTCTAATCACAGAATTTTGAAAGGAAATTTCAGTCTGAGCAGGCAGCTGGCTCTGTGTCCAAGAGCACGCAGTTTGAATATGCCTGGTGTCTGGTTCGAAGCAAATACAATGATGACATCCGTAGAGGCATCATGCTGTTGGAGGGTAAGGCGCTGGGTCCCCCACTTTCCAGCTGCCAGCCTGTCTGCCCTCTGCTGTCCTTGACCTCACCCCTCCAGGACCCTTTCTAACATGGAACCCTCACCTTATAGCACACTCATAACTCAGTAACCACCAGTAAATTCACAGCAACAAAAGCCTAGATTGATTCTCTATATCCCCAATTTCAACATCTGAACATTCATTCAGATGGAAAATGCTGTGGGAGAAAAATGTTCTCAGGCTGGCGAAATGACTCAGTGCATCCTGTCCAGGCATAAAGACCTGAGTTCAAATCCCCAGCACCCACAGCAAAGGCTAAGTGTGGCCACAAGTGCCTGTGTAGAGAGAAGAGCCGGAGTGCACTAGCGATGGCTTGCTGTGACCTTAGCTAGGATTCTCTAGGGGATGGTGTGGAGGCTGAAAGCAAGACAGCAGACATCCTCTGGTCTCCGTGCTTCCGTCTGCACACACATAGTATACACAAAACACCACACAGTACACACAAAACACCACACAGTACACACAAAACACCACACAGTATACACAAAACACCACACAGTACACACAAAACACCACACAGTACACACAAAACACCACACAGTACACACAAAACACTTGCAGTTCAGTTACTAATTGCTCTTAATATAGTGTTTATGTTGTATTGGATAACAGTAATTTAGAAAATTCTAGAGATTTAAAATCTCAGAGGCGTTGGTGGTATCAAGGACACGTGATCTCAGGTACTCCAAAGGTGAAGAAGGCATTGGGACGTAGTTCAGTAGTAGCATTGACTGTGGAGATGGAAGCAGGAAGAGCAGAAGTTCAAGGCCAGAGTCGGCACATACTGACCAAATTTGAGGTCAGCCTGGGCTTCATGAGCTCCCTGTCTCAAAAAAAATAAATAAAAATAAAAATAAAAAAAAAAAAGCATCTTTGGGGAATATAGGTAGGTTCTATGCAAATACTGTTTAATTTTATAGATGGGCCTTCCGTCTATAGATTTTGAAGTTTGGAAGCCTAGAGTAGTGATAAGTGCCTTTAATCCCAGCACGCTGGAGGCAGAAGCAGGAGGATCTCTGAGTTCAAGGCCAGCCTAGTCTACAATACTGTAGTAACAAAAGACTGCTGTATGATTTAGTCATTTTCAATTTTGACACAGGACCTCTAAATAGCTCCCGGTGCTTCAACCGGTGAGTCCTGCTTCAGCCACCTTAGTGTTGGCAATTCAGGGGTACCACCAGCTCTGGGGTCTTTGTCCCCCTACTGTGATCAGTTCGGACTTTTAAGTTTCTTTTACAGTAGGACACAGCAGTGGGCATGGTCTCAGAGCATTTGGGTCTTATTTAGGGACACAGTGCAGACACTGAGGAGGCTGCAGCACTGCATGGCTAGTTAATGCCAGAGTATAGCTGCTGCACACACAGTAGCTCCAGCGTTGGAGAGGCGGCCAGCCTGATGGGCAGTTTGGAATGAGCCTGGACGGCTTAGCAAGTGCCTATCTTAATACCTTCACACGAGGACACAGGGAGAGAAGGAGGAAAGAAGGGAGGGAGGGAGAGAGAGAGAGAAAGAGAGAAAAAGAAATAAGTCAGTCAATGGTCAGAAGGATTAGAAGGTCTGGTCATCCTCAACAAGATGACACTAAAAGACGGCATGTGAATGTGTGACTGTCAGGCGGGAGGTGGCCTCGCAGTGGGACCCATAGCTGGCCAGTGGAATGCACCCATCCATGCAGACGACAGTGCTGATCCCTGGCATCTGCCACAGGTTTGTGTGGCCTCGGGGCTGTAACTGGAAAGCTGGGGGTGACAGGAACTGGCAGTGGAGGTGGAGGTCCCTGACAGTGACCCTCCCAGAATCCTAGAGTGAGTCAGTGAAGCAGGACCCGTGGAACAGTGTTAGAAAGAGACTCCATCTTTCTCCTTTCCCCTCCCTTTCCCCCCTCCAGAGCTGTTGCCCAAAGGGAGCAAAGAGGAACAGCGGGATTATGTCTTCTACCTGGCAGTGGGCAACTACCGGATCAAGGTAAGGCTGCAGAGCCCTTCCTGACCCATGTTCCCCCTGAATCTCCCCAGGCAGAGAGCCCTGGCCCTCAGGAAGCCAGCAAAGGGCATCAGGCTGGGGTGATGGTGGCTGTGTGGGTTTAGAGTAAACCCAAGGCAGACTCTGAAGAAGGTGAGAGAGTATCGGGGTGTGGGGACCACGCTGACGTCAGGTTGGGGTGCAGCCCCGTGCCTGGAGCTGTTATCTCTGCTGGCTTATCACCCCCCCACAGCTGGGCTGTTTGTGAACTCTACTCTGTGGGGTGGGGCTGTAACGGGTGGAGGAGGAGGAAGGATGAGCTGGGCCAGGGAAGGACACTCCTAGGTAGGGGGTAGCAGGAGGCGCATCCCAGGGAGCCTGTGGTTTGAGGTGCGCCTTTCCTGTGATTGCAGGAGTATGAGAAGGCTCTGAAGTATGTACGAGGACTGTTACAGACTGAGCCCCAGAACAACCAGGCCAAGGAGCTGGAACGCCTGATTGACAAGGCCATGAAGAAAGGTGACAGGCCTCTTGCCAGCTGCTCTTCCTCCTCCCTCATGCCAGGGGCCCTTGGGAAAACACACACACACACACACACACACACACACACACACACACAGAGTCCTTCATCAAACCTACCCTCCAAGTGTCTCTGTAGCCCTGGAGTCCCAACCCGCAGACTCTGGGTACAGGTACCCCTCTTCTATGGAGAGGAGTGTGGTCAGGGGCCTGGGGGTGGGATTGGTCTGCTCACGCCTCCCTCTTCCTTTTCCAGATGGACTGGTAGGCATGGCCATCGTTGGTGGCATGGCCCTGGGTGTGGCGGGCCTGGCTGGACTCATTGGACTGGCTGTCTCCAAGTCCAAATCTTGAAGGCAGCCTCACCTGCTCTCTGCCCCTGGACACCTGGGAGCCCGGGGGACACTGGAAGAGGGGCCTGTCCATCCTCACCATCGCCTTCCCTTTCCTCCTGCACCCCTGTCATCCACCTCTACAGTCTCCATGACCCCCAGCCTCCTGTCACCTGTACCTGTCGTTTAACCCTGTCATGCTTTGCAATGAGTGTAAATAAAATTGGGCCGTGGCTTGGGAAGCTCTGTGTGTGAGCGTCAGTTGAGGGAGAAGCAGGTTCACCGGGTGCACAGCTGCCCTCTCTACCCCACACCAGGTTCCTCTGCCAGCATCCCAGCCTACACCCTTCCTTCCTCCCCTATCCTGAATCACTTGGAAGGATCAAGGAACTTTGCTCGAGGACACGGCTTTCCCACCGCCCCAGAATCATGGGAGAGACCAGTGATCAGTGAGCTGGGATTTACGGCTCTGGTCTCCTCTGACCCACACAGCTGCCTGGGAGTTTTCCACTGCAGGGGGCCCCCACTGGGCTTCCTCCAAAAACCTCCGCCCTTCCCTCCCTTTGTCTTCCTGCCCCTCCCCTTCCTCTGCCCAGTCTTTCCCCTTTGGGACCACTAGGGTGACAGAGAAAGCTGTGTGGAGCCGCCAGGAATGGTGAAGGTTGTTGGGCACAGGATACCCCAGTCCCAGCCTGTGGGATGGGAGGCAGAGATCTCACAGAGCTCACCCCACACCCCTTGTGCCATGCTCTTCGTGGGCCTATTTGGCTTCCCTGCATTCTTGTCATTCCACAGCCCCTGGCAGCCTTGCTGGGGGGTGGGAGGAGGTACCTGAGGGGTGCATGGAGGAGCCTGGTTCTCGGAAAAAGGGGGTGAGGAGCCACAGTGGGCATAGCTATGTCTCACATACTCTGGAAAGGGAGCGTAGTACCAACTTGCCAGGCAAGACCAGGAAGCAGCCAAGAAGGGAATCTATGTTCAGACAGGTGCTCGGCTAGGGTTGGGTAGGGGATCCAGAGGTTTCCATCTATCATAATTAATGACCCTGATAATGAGAGCTGGTAATGGTTCCCAGTAAGTGGACAGATTAACCAGAATCATGTCTTAGGCCCATGATTGGCTCCCCACCTGGCCCCTAGCCCCTTGGCTGGGAGATCAAACTCAGTGCCGAAGAGTCAAAGGTCAGCTGGAGGGACAATTCAATTCAGGAAGTTTTGAGGAAAGTAGAATTCAGTGGCCTCACCTCAGTCCTGCTGCAGTCAGATCCAAGTAACCGCTGGGGCAATGGGAGTGTGCCCAGGAGCTGTGATCTGTGGTCCCAACTCCCATTACAGCCCAAAAGCCAATAATGTTGTGTCAACAAGGCTGAGAGCCAAAAATTCAAGCCCAAGGCCCTATGATAATGCTGGAGTCTAGTGGAAGCCAGGTTGTCAGGGTTTGAGAGGTCTTGCCACCCCCAACTCAAACTTCATGGTCCTTGGAGAAAGATGTAAGTCCCATCTATAGGGTCTACAGCATCCTAGGTTGCTCTCAGGATCTCAGTCCATCATGGAAGGCTGTGGTGTGCCTGTTGGAAGTTTTCTTCTCTAGACACTCTGGTCTTTTGGGTACCTAAAACTTTGTCTCTCTAATTTCATTCTCTGGCCCTGGTGACAGCTGAGTCAGAGACAAGCCACTTCCCCTGGATTCCTAATGTGTCCCTTGGGGGCTGCTCCTTGGCTGTATCCCTAAGTCTCCCAGTAAGTCCAACCTCCCCACTCCTAGGGCGGGGAGTCCCGGGCTAGGCCGGAGGCCGGGGGAGGGGGTGGACTTTTGGCCCGCTTATTCCCTCCATCATAGTCAACAGCTGCAGAGCGGAGCAGGCTTGGCTCATTCCTCTGACCTGCCAGGAAGCAGAGCCTCCCAGAGACCGACCGGGCAGAGGGAATCAGACCTGACCTCCAGAAGACGGCAGACAAGAATCGCAGCTGGATAAGCTGTCCTTCAACCTTCTTCCTCCTCATTCTTCCTTAACATATCTTTTGGGCCAAAGCCCCCAGAATTCACCTGGAGGTGCCACTTCTATCTCAATCCCTGGGGCTCAAGCCCCCTTGGGGGATCTGCATCCCAGCATGTCTATAGCTGTGGAGACCTTTGGCTTCTTCATGTCAGCCCTGGGACTGCTGATGCTGGGGGTGACCCTTCCAAACAGCTACTGGAGAGTGTCTACGGTCCACGGGAATGTCATCACCACCAACACCCTCTTTGAGAACTTATGGTACAGCTGTGCCACCGACTCCCTGGGAGTCTCCAACTGCTGGGAATTTCCGTCCATGCTGGCCCTCTCTGGTACGGGGTGAGGGAGGCTCTAGCAGACAGAAAGAGGTTGGGGGGGGGGGCTAGGTGGAGAGACCCTTGAGGAAAGGGTGGAGGTGGTTGCCTTTGGGCACTATAAGGACACAAGGATTTCAGATGAAGCTCTTGGTTCTGGACAGCTGAAGCAAAGGGTGCTGCATGACCCAGAATGGAACCAGTGTGAGTGTTACACACAGTTCTCTGCCCTAATGTGTGACCCTCAGCCAGCTAAGTGAGGCTTCCAGATGTGATTCGGGTCTTTGCTAGCTCTAGGCCTCAGGTAAATGATAGAATGAATTTGGCCATAGCCACCTGCAAGCTAAGAGTAATCATGGTGCTAGTGTGCTTGTGGTCACGAGGCTTCTAGGCAACAAAACGTGCCGCACGCACGGGGTGTTGACTGTATTTTAGTGGTTTCTTCTGGGAAGGAGGGTTGGCTCAGTTGGCTGGGGTGAGATGGAGACTCTATCTTGTTGGTTGAATGCCAGCCTCAGTAGCTCTGCAAACATCCACAGTCTGGGGGTCTCCCTGCCCTGCTGGAACTCCAGAGGGCTCTGGGCTCAGCTCCTTTATTTTGGAAGGGAGTCTGCTAGGAAGTTTAATGGATGCCAGAGAAGTGGTTATGCAGACATGCATGTGTGTTTGGGGCTCCAACTGTGTTTTGTTGTTGTTTTGTTTGGTGGTCTTACATGGCTGCAACCCGCAGCCCTAACTTGGGCCCAGGTCCTTCTTTAGTACCTTCTCCTACCCCTTTCTTGGTCACCTGCACACCTCTGTCCCTCCTCCCCTCTCTCCCCTGCCATCATTTCCCCCAAGGGATCCCCAGATACACACAACACACGAACCAATCCAAACCAAACAGTAGCTCCCCAAGTGGATTCCATATGCATGTCCACACCGTCACCTCTCGGTCATCCACTAAACGTCCTAGTCTTCTCCACGCACGACACAAAGACTAGGAGTCAATGACCATGAACCCTCTCTGGTTGCTCCTGCCACTAGATTCTGGCCTTGCTTTTCTGGAAGCCCAACTGCAGGTGATGAGTGAGTAGGGGAATCTGAGACCTGCCCAGGTGGGGAACAGGACATTGTGAAATGGCCTCATATCTGCAAGATGCTCTGAGCAGAGATCCTGTCCAGGTTAATCTCTGGTACTCTGCTTTCCCCAACTCTCCTGAGGTAGCAAGCTGCTAAGATCTCTGACTATGCTCCATACCCAGACCTTTGGAAAAACTGAATCTATTCTGGGCCACAAACTCAGAGCAGTAAGTGGCCAGAGGGGACCATGCATAGAGTCAACTCAGCACCCTTCGTGTGCCGAGGGCACTCTGCTGTGAGCCTGGCCACCTGTGAGAGGCCTCACATGGTGTCGCTGCTCTTTGCCAGCAAGAGAATTGAATTTGGAGGAAAGCCACATGGGAGTTTGCTGGGGGTGATGGAGGGGGTTATCTCCTTTGGTTTGGATTGGTGCATGCGTGTTTTTGTGTGTGTGTGTGTGTGTTTATGTACACACACATTCTTTTGAGTCATGGTTTTGCTATGTAGTCCAATCTCTGACCTCATTACATAGCTAAGGCTGGTCCTGAACTCGAGAAGATCCCCCTGCATCAGCCTCGCAAGTGCTGGGATTGCAGGTGCGCACCACCATATCTAGCTTTTCCTTTTATGTGCTCATTCCCCTTCCTGTGACGCAGTCTATGCTTTTCAGATGTATTTACTGCTCTAACCTCGGTTTGTCAAAGCAGACCACTTTGCAGAGTTAAGCAGCCTGGCTAGAGGCAGAGGAGGTGGAGAGGAGGCTGTGATTTCCACTTACTGTGTCTGAGCTGAGGGCCAGTTTATTCTTCTGCAGTCTGCTGAGTCACAAGAAGGATCCCCCCCACACACACTTTGCACCCAGTATTAGAGATTAAACCAAGAACTAGATATATATCAGACAAGCACGCCACCACTGAGCTACCCTCTGTCCCTCAGTGGAGGAGTCTAGGCCAGTGTTTAGCACTAAGAGCCACCCCAAGCCCTCCCTGGGGAATTGCAAGCAAAACGCTCTACCTCTGAGCTATAGCTCCAATCTTTTTTTTTATATTTCATTTTGAGACAATCTTGCTGAGATGCCCGGGCTGGCCTTGAACTGCCCTCTTGCCTCAACCTCTTGAGTGCTGTGCTGATTTCAGGTGTAGCTCACCAAGCCAGGCCTAATAATTAAATAATGACTTCATTATTCCAGCCACTCACTGGATCCACATAACCCTGGGCCCATCTGTCATCTTTCCTTTGTCCGTTAGCATTCTCTGCACGTGGTGGTGCACGCCTTTAATCCCAGCACTTGGGAGGCAGAGGCAGGTGGATTTCTGAGTTCGAGGCCAGCCTGGTCTACAGAGTGAGTTCCAGGACAGCCAGGACTATACAGAGAAACCCTGTCTCGAAAAAACAAAAACAAACAACAACAACAACAAAAGAATTGGTGGGGAAACTCTCTAGGTGTGGCTGGGAGTCATAATGTCCTCTCAAAGAACTTTGTCCCCCCTCCCTACCTCTTAACTCCAGGCTGCTTCATCTCTTCCTGGCAGAGGCCCAAGCCTTCTGCCTTCCACACCACGCATGCTATGGGCCCCACCCAGAGAAGGGGTACAAGGTTCCTGAGAGTGTTTAGCAATCATCAAAAACAGGAAGAGGAGCCAGCAGCTTCCCTTGGCTTTGAGAAAAGGGAAACCAAGGCACCAAAAGATTATGAACTGAACTGACTGGGATGGGTCCCTAGTCCCTGGTTTCCCAGCGTCCATGGTCCTCTACCCTCTGCCCTGAATCATTGCTGCCCCCTGCTGGTTACTCTGGAAGAAACTCAGCTCCAACCCAGAGTGTCCAAGCTGTTGGGTATGGTAGCATAGGCCTGTAATCCCAACAAGCC